AGAGAGAGAGGCGCGGGCGCGAATCGCGCGATGAACAGTGTGTGTGTGTGTGTGTGTGTGAGTGTGTGTGAGAGAGGCACGGGCGATCGAACAGTGGAAACGTAAAAACATACTCCGTCATTTTTTTCATACAGGACATCATTAAAACTGCAAATTGTTTACTTATATTTGTGTACACTCGCAATAAAACACAACATTGTGCTTTTGTCACACTCTAAACTCTTGTCAAACTGTAACCTACACCTGTTAACAAAAGTTTTTATGGTAGTATTATTTTATACGGAAATCAATTATTTATAATTCAGATGAGAATAAAGTTAGTTAATTAAAATGAAGGAAAACAAATATCTTGATCTGAAATAGCAAATTAATTTTAAATTCATTCAGGTACAATTACCAAACATATCTCAAGGTCTTTTCGTCTTTTTAATAATTTAATTAATAAACTAATTATATAAAACTACTGTCAGTGCACTACAAATAAACTGGTTCTATGCCTTTATTAATAAAACTTATTTAAAAAAATACAAGGCTTAAGACATTTATAAAAATGCCTTCTGCATTTTTGCTTTGCTTTTCACTCCATTGTACCGAAATCGTACCGAACCGTGATGTCTGAACCGAGGTATGAACCGAACCGTGACTTCTGTGTACCGTTCCACCCCTACTAGACGGATGCCTAAAAACGTCTAAAAATGTGCTGTTCTAAAAACATGGCACCTTCAAGAGTTAACACTTCCATAATCAGATATAGTATAGCGCATATTTGGCATCCTGTCCGAGTAGAGGGCTCCGATCTCTGAATTTAGCCTGAACCCAGAGTACTCCCCCCACCCCTGGCTGGGAAAAGAATAATTGTGAGCGAGGAGTTGGGGTGCAGGAGGGATGCTGGAAAACTGGAACAGAGGTAAGTCGGCCATATATGCCTCCTCTCATGCTGATTAGGTAGATTATCTGAACGTGCTCCTCTCGAACTTTGTTAACAAAACGTCATTTAAAACGTCACACATAAGCGTGTTCAATGTAAATGACCCCTAACACATGATCGCTCTGGGACGTGTTGAGAGAAACTTCAACTTCAAACTTCACTGCTTCATTCGCTTCTTTTCTTGGGGTGCAACATGGGTTCATTCATTCAATAGTATTCGTCGTGGTGCACTCACCCGTGAAAAAATAAAAGAGTATCTCAATCCTTACACAAATGGTCACACGTGTAACTTAAACACCGGGTGGAAGCGGTAATGCATCTCGACCTACCACTTGCAATTGGATCACTGAAAACCCATCTTAAAGGGATACTCCACTTTTTTTGGAAATAGGCTCATTTTACAACTCCCTCAGAGTTAAACTGTTGAGTTTTACCGTTTTTGAATCCATTCAGCCGATCTCCGGTTCTGACGGTAAGTTACCACTTTTAGCATAGCTTAGCATACATCATTGAAGTGGACGAGACCATTAGCATTTCTCAAACAAAAATCACCAAAGAGTTTCGATATTTTTCCTATTTAAAACTTGACTCTTCTGTAGTTAGGTCATGCACTAAGACCGACGGAAAATGTAAAGTTGCGATTTCTTAGGCTGATATGGCTAGGAACTATACTCTCATTCCTGCGTAATAATCAAGAAACTTCACTGCCGTACCATGAGAGCAGCAGGCGTAATGATATTAGGCGCTGCGTCATATCATTATATATATCGAAATATCGAAAATATCGAAACTCTTTGGTGATTTTTGTTTGAGAACTGCTAATGGTCTCGTCCACTTCAATGATGTATGCTAAGCTATGCTAAAAGTGGTACCGCCAGAACCGGAGATCGGCTGAATGGATTCAAAAACGGTAAAACTCAACAACTCTGGGGGAGTTGTAAAATGAGCCTATTTCCAAAAAAAGTGGAGTATCCCTTTAATACCAGGTGTAAACCTGATTCTTACTGTTCACAGATTGTGAAATTGTCGAAGAGAGAGATAAGAAATCAGTATTGCTCGTTTCAGCATGCATTCTCACAACACACACACACACACACACACAGGTATGCCTGTGACCTTTCTTTCACACTTTCACCTTTGACCCACCTCAAGCCAAAGGTACTCAAGCATATCTCCAGGGCAAGCATTTTTCTTAAACCTCCTTATATATCGCAGCCTGGCCGAGTGGAATGTACTAACAAAAGAGTTGCAGAGAAGCAGAGCCAAGTAAGTGATCGATCGTCTCAGCGTGTCTGAGCGCCTCAGTAAACAATCTACAGTGTTGTTTTCGGCTTCTGATGCAGTCAGCGCTCACATTCACATGCACAGCGAGAGTTTCTTACACAGATCCGCCATCAAAGCTGCTCTTATTCCAGCTTTGTTGGACTTATTAAAAGTGGATCAGAATGCCCTATTCACTACTGAAAAAAAAAAAAAATTACAATCCTTCAGCCTGCGATAGTCTCACGCTTCAAAAGCAATAAGCCAGGAACAGTACGATGAAAGATGTTTAGTAAGCATTCAAATATATTAGTAATAAAATTCAGCATCAACTTCTGCCAAGAATTATTATTCAGTAAATGTGGGTTGTTTACCGTTTCCAAGCAACTTGTTGCAAACAGTTGAACTGTTGTGCTGTCACGGGTGTTCATATCAGCTATTTTGCAGCGCCTTTGAAAAAAAGTGAATCCAATCAGATTTTAGAGGCTTTATAATTTTAGATTATAAAAATGTAAATGGTTATTAGGATCTACTCAAGGTCTAATTAAGTGGGTCAAAAAAGCTTTCTAAAGTTCAGCTAATTGCTTTCAATATAAATTTTAACTATATTCTTTTTATTGAATTGTGATTAACATGCAATTAAATGTTCGAAAGCATTACATTCAGTTCGTACTTAAGTATATAATAGTGTTTCCATAATAAGTACACTTAGTGTACAACAATGCAGTGTGTCTATACTTAAGATGAATACGGTAAAAATGTTAATACGCTCTGGACGTTTGACAGTTGTAACAAATGTCAGGAGGAAGTCACACAAGCTCTATGTCCATCAAAATAGGGAAATGTGTTTACGATGGTAACCACAGAGAGCGGTCGCAAATGTCCTCGTCCCTTATCACATCATCATCATGCCTCATCCCACAGCACAGTTCCTCTCTGCTCACTTCCGGCTTTCTCCAGTCTGTCGTCACATGGTTATATGACTCTTTCTTAATCATGGATTAATCAAGTTATGCACTGCTGAATGCACGACTGTAACGTCATAAGGCAGAAAGTGACAGTTAATCAAAAGTTGGCTCTCTGCGTGACATTTCCTCCATAAACCTCAAGCGGTACTACTAGACACGTCACATTTCTAAAAACAGATTCGGTGGGACAAGGACTTTCACCTGGAGGCCAAGAGCAGTTCCTACAGTAGGTCTTGTGCGAGTAGCACAGTCAGGCCGGTGAAGAACGTACTGTAACCTGTCTGTCTGCCTGGACAGGTTCTATTTGGCACACCAAAAACAACGACACGAAAAACATAATTAAGGTGTTTATCCCCTTTATCCTGGTTGTGTATGTTGTTGTGACACATTAAATCATCTGAAACTGATGGGGTGTGCACTGATTTTACTAGCAGCTTTGCAGAATGCAGTAAATGTGTCAACAAACTAACAGGACAACATTTTTCAAGGATTTGTGCAGATGAAAAAGTCTTTGTCGAGACTTTACGCCATGAAAAAATTGATATAATATGCCATCAGTGTAGTCTAGATTCAAATATTACTATGAAAATATCTAAATTAAATTTCTTTAGAAACTTTGGAATTTGACACTATTTTGAATGTCCACTGTTTTTCTGTAATGCTTCATACAGCAAAAAAAAATTTTAAGTGTGTTTCATAAGGTAACATCTAAATGAACTGGGTTTTATTTATTTTTTTAAATGACAATCAATCTAACTGCAATTTTGTTTGAAATTAAAAATGAACGGTCTGATCAGGAGCAGTGCCTTTCAGTAAAAATTGTACAGTTAAGGCTCGTTCACACCAAGAACAATAACTATAAAGACACACTATAATAATATTATACCAACGGACGAGCTCACTAAAGCAGGATGGATTCTGATTGGCTGTCAATGTTTTTATTATTGATCACCTGGAGGAAAAAATCGTTCTAATTCCAGTGATATTGTTTCTCTGTGCTGTTATTGTTATACTTGAGGTGTGATCTCTGCTATTCTTTTACATTTAGAACGATTTTTAAAACTATATATTTTGTATTGTTATTATAGTTATCCTTGGTGTGAATAGCCACCAGTGCAACTAACCTAATTCTGTTTTAATAAAAGTTACAATAAAGTATATTAGGCAAAACAAAGTAAACAACACAACCAGTTCAGGCCATCTGAAATGAAAAAGCAGTTTCACTTTTCTCTGGAGAACTGCTTGTTTCCATGGATACGGCTGAATTTCCCAGGACAAACTTTCCTGCCAACTCTAAACTGAAAACACACACACACACACCACGTGCGTAGAGGGTATGAACTTATTATTTTCCCTTTCTGAGCCCTAATTTGGCTTTTGAGTGGATTATTTGGATGGAGCGACTTTGGATTCCTCCACTTTTGAAATGTTGTTCCCATGTCAACTTTTGACATCAACATCTTTTGTGAAAATGTCAAAAACTTTTCTTTTTTTCTTTTTTCTTTTCTTGCAATATTATGAGGAAAACAGATGAAGTGGATGTACCACAATCTGCAAAGCCCTGCATTAAATCTTTGTTGCTTCCTTTGCATGTAAGGGGAAGGGTGGAAAAAAAAAAATAAGCATGGCAACAATAACATTAGGTAACTTACATTATAAAGCTTAATAGATGATCAGTTCATGTACTTTCTAATGTCTTTGATTTGACCGGCTAATACTTACTAATGAAAGTAATTATTGTAACAGTTGCTTACACTTTATGTAAATAACCTAATAGCATGTCATGCCATTAACATCAAAGTGAAAGTTATGTAAAAAGTGTCACCCAGCATTGTTTATCTTACCCACGAGCAGACAGAGGACGTCCAGCCCGACCAGCATCTTCCTGCTGGAGCATTGAACCGTATCCACAGGTTCCGCGGGACTCGGGATGTGTTTGGTGCCGTTTTCCCTCGCTGTGTCTCCGGATCCACCGTGATCCGCCAGCCGCTGCTGGAGCTCCGCGTTACTGTTCACCGAATTCAACTTCTGCATGTTGTCCGTTTAATTTAACACTTGTGCCGGATTTACTGTCCTTCACAACCTCAGTAAAGCCAAACTGACAGGTTAGGAACACGGTTTACTTGAACTTTTTTTCAATCTTCTGAATGGTTTAGGTTAAAATCCAACAACAAGCGCACGTGTAGATGACGAATATAAAAATGTACACACGTCTTAACTGATGAATCGATCAGACTTGTACAGAGATCCTGGTCTGCTCTCTTTTACACGAGAAATCCTTTCTCCAGCACTTTTGAAAAGTTTCGGCTGCAGTTTGGCCATCATCATCGGGACATGATGGAGAAAAACACATTCCTGAAAACATATGTCAGTCAAAAGTTTGTCATCCTCTGTGACTCTTCATGTCAAACTCTTCTTTCTTTCCCCAACCGAGAGCAAACTTGAAGCGGATCGTGTTTTGATTTGTGGGTATTAGTGTTATTCCTCCGCCCTCTTTAGGGCTGGCTTAAAACCTAGTGAGCTGACTAGTACACAGGCAGCATTTTGGGGTTATACGTGTTCCGAACGCGGGAAAACTTGCTAACTGTGAATAGTAGCCTAATAATAATTCGGGCGACCCAACTTGTCTTTTGGCGCAATTAACACTTAGCCAAGTGTTAACTATAGCTAGTAATAATAGTTGTATAAAAGCACTGTTTTTGTAGCCTAATATGTGTAAATATATGATCAAGTGATAAATAATATCATTAGTATTTTTATGTTGTCAAAATTCTTAACGAAAAGCGCTCGAGCAGTGCAGTTGCCTCCTCAGGTGACCGCCAAATCCGTTGGTGTCTCATTTCGAAGGCTGCGCCCTCCGGAAGTCACATTTCTCGTCGAGGATGTCTCATAAGTCACAATGGAAAATATATATACATTATTATTATTATTATTATTTAATTATTATTATTTTTATGTGTGGAAGTACATGGCCAGCATCAGTTTCAGGTGGTTAGTTATATCATTAAGACCGCATAAATGGTTCTTACAGCAACAGGTGGTTGTTCTGCAGTTCTGGTGTGTGTTTGTTGTGCTCAACGTGCAGCCTCTGTATCCTTTCATATAGGCTGATTATTTAAGAGGGTTTATTCTCTGTCTGGGAAGCGAGGCAGACAAACATTTATTGCTGCGGTACCTTCAATGGGCTGACGGCCATGATGGAATGCTGAGTAATGTACCCTTTATCAATCAGGTTTGAGGATTGAGCTAGTTGAGATTGGGTAACTGTGTTGCAGCTGTACTTTCGCTAAAGGGCAGACCAGCCACTGTTTCTTGTATATTTTAGATGTATATTGTGGTTTATTGTTATTTGATATTGACTTTGATCTTAAATGTTGTCTGTTATTTGCTTTGTTTCTTTGGTACTGCTCTCCTCTTTTTGTGTGTTCCAGTGCTCAGAGACTTTGTACAGGGCCGGGCCTGCATCTACACTAAAACCTCCTTCGGTGTAGGTGATTTGGGTGGTGTGACACTGCTGTGTGGTGTGTGAAATAGTGACTTAAAGGTTACTACTTATTTGCGGTGTATGCTGTGGGGTTTCTCCTGTTTTCTTCTGTCTCTTAAGCCTAGTTCACACTACATGATTTTAAAATGTTGGGCTGAACTGTGCGGTTCACACTACATGACTTGCTCTCTGTGAAATCAGGAGTGTTCAAGTTGTTGAGCTGTTCACACCACACGACACAACGTGATTGATCCGCAACAGGAGGTAACGCACTATACGAGTTGACAACAACTCTGTCACCCAACGATTCTATCTTGTCTACAAACCACGTTTTGTCACAAAAAATCACGCGATAAAACGAAACGGAAATCCCGCGAAGCAGCACGCGCGCCAATACCCAGCGAAGAAGACGAAGAACACAACACGCGAATATGGACGTCAGACAGAAACTAGTGCTGCAAACTGTTTGCGCGATGATTTGCTCTGAGAAAAAAACGCAAAAAAAGAAAAAATAAGATTTACCCGGTGACCTCAACCCATGCCTTGCTCTGATTGGCTGTAGCTCATGACATCACGTGAGTTTGAGTCTGGATATCTAGCATGCTAGATATTTTTCTGGGCTCGGCGACATGTCTGCGAGGCGTCTGCGAGCGTCTTTGATGCGTTGTTGGCTCTTTCATACTAACAGATTGCCGAGCGTTCATCGCCCGCTAATCCCCCGCGATTTGCACGCGATAACACCCTGACCTGTCGGCGAGCTCAACGATTTGCAAATCGGGCTTAAATCGGGCTTAAAATCATGTAGTGTGAACTAGGCTTTACAGGTGGTAGGAGGTCCACAAGGGCAGGCCCGACCCTCTTGCAATCTTGAGGAGAGCTAATTCCAACTTCTGTGAATGTTATTATCGACACGTTTTTAACATTTGATGGTTTTATTGGAACTATAAAATTGTTATCTTTTTACAAACTACATTTGTTGTCCATAATCAGTATTGTGACCTTTAGACTAGAGGTCTCCTCCTCCCTTAAATAAGGAGGTGGCGTAGTCAGCTTATATTTCCTACACTACATATTGAATATTGCAGTTGGCTTTTTTATTATTCTGTGCACGTCTTCTCCTTTTTTTATGTGCCCTAGCTCATAATCTTTAATCAAAATAACTTCCCCTCCCTCTTGAAGCAACATCTCTTCTCCAACGGCGTGTTTACTGGTGCGAGGCCGTGACAACCTGTGGAGATCTACCAATAGCAAACCACAACCATCCAATCAATTCACCATGGACAAAATCAAATCCCGCCCTACATTTTTTCTTGTTTGAGAAGCCATTTCACTCAAGAAGCTGACATTCCTCACAATAAGGAAGAAAATACTATGGTAACTTCTGTTTCATACCTACTTTAAGAAAAGTAACCATTATAAAATGTACTGTTATTCCTCCTGAGGCTGTATTTTCTTACTTTGCAAGTAAAGTACTTTTCATAAATGAGACAGCCTCAATGCCATATGCAGCAAACAAATGTGACCTAAAGAGGGTGCAGCTTTTCGAAATGAGACCCAGCTCCTGTTTAGGCCAAGTGAACATTTATGACTAAAGGCACAGTCACAGGCAATAAAGGCCCATTGTCTTTTGTCAAGAGCAGAGTGCAATATGAAGCACAGCTCAGAAGTCACTTCCGAACCAAGCAACAGAACGTTAGTCAACACAAGGAATCTGCATTATCAACATGAACCCATTGCGAAATCTGAATGGGGAACTTTTCCCGATTGTATTGATTTCTTTTGAAATTACTGGATTTTGCAAACAAAAATTCATGGCAAATGTGACTTCACCATTAATTGTTATTTGACTGCTGTTCTTACTACACATTTGAAACTCCATATATGTAAATAATATACATATATATATATATATATATATATATATATATATATTATTTTATTAAGAGGAGTTCAAAGAGCCATTGATTTGCATACAACTAGACATGCATCCTTTGTAAAAACACCCCTTATTGCATTTTGCCACCAAATGCTGTCTATGTCAGCCCACAGGAAAATGAGGCTCAACCTTTCTCCTTCTCTCTTTCTACTTGCCTTCTTTTTCATGAGACCGGCAAATGTTGCCTTTCCTTGTCTTTCAACTCCAGCTCTAAAGCACTGATCAGCTGATCTTTTTCTTTTTCATTAAATGGCGACCATAGAGAAAACCTGTCAGACATTTGTCTTGATGCCATAAAAGAACCGTTTTGGGTTTCCTAAAGAACCTTTCAGTCAACAGTTCTTAAAAGAACCATGTTTTTCTTAGTGTGATGAACATTTTAATAATCTAAAAAACCTTTCTGCACGATAAAGAACCTTTTGTGCAGTGATAAGATTCCATGGATTGTAAAGGTTCTTAATGAAACCAGTTGCCAATAAAGAACTTTTATTTTTAGAAGTGTTCAGCATAAGTTACAATGATATATAGGCTGATATTTAATGTAGGCTAATTAAAAATATATATATATAAAGTCTTGGGCCTGTCTGTAACGGTTTCTTGAAGACGTTTGTATGAAGTTCTCAATTATTTGCACAGGTCTGGTGAACTTTGGAGAATTGGGAAATACTGCCATCTGGTGAGTTTTAACAATGACATTTTGTCATGGCTGTGCCATCTTACCTCCGGTTCACATCGAAGGTTTTTTAAATAGCTGAAGATCGGTGAGTGTCACAATGCTGTCCACACCCTTCTTAAAAGTATTTTCTCATGGATTACAAAAACCAACTGTACTTTAAATGCAGACAAAGTGTCTGTGATTAATATACAGAAATGCCCCTTTCTTCCACAGGATGCAACATTCGTGATGTGGATTAAATTATGTTATTTATAAAGTCACTTCCATTCCAACGATGTCTCTTCCACTGAACCCTCGTACATGCATGAGAGCATCACATAATGTGTAGAAACGTTTTAAGACCTGTAGATGGAGACAAACAGACATTTGTTTCAGAAAGTGTGCTTACACACTCAAGAAATTTGTCTTCATGACATAAGAAAAATATAACTACTCATAGATAATAAAATATTTACACAATCTGCATATTTGTGATATTTACATCAGGGTGTTTATTTACCTTTGTGAAGGACAATTTTTTCAACCTTATAAAATGTATGCGTTATTTTTCATGTCAAATTCTTACATTTGATCAATCATTTAGTTATAATAATAAGACATAGGGCTAATATCAATCAAATTAAATAATTTACACTGCAAAATTACAACTGCAATAAATAATGTTGAGATTAATGTTTTAAATAAATGTTTGAATATACAAATAAATAAATAAATGCAATGATACTTTTAAACATGAAACTAAACCGCCAATAGGTGGCAGCAAGTGACCGTCTTAATGAGTGAGTCATTGAATCATTCGTTCAAATGATTAATTCAAAACGCTGAATCATTCAGTAACAAAACACAGAGTGTTGCTTTCCTTTGGAACAATTTTTCTGAAATAAAAATCTTGTGTCTAAAATGTAAGTAACTTAATATTAACTATTGAGCAATAAATCAATGTAACATTTGCTATTGTGAATATTCAGGAAAACAGCTCCCTTGGCCATGTGATGTTACTATGTTCATATGTTCATATGTTTGCATATAAAGCAAACTCTGTAGGGTTTCTTGTGTATGCTGTTATGCTCATTTATTTTGATTTCTCCATGAAAGTCTCAAGAGACAGGAAGCGTGAGCCTAAACAGCGCAACCTTGTTTCCAGAAAAACACTATCCATTATCAATCGCTGTTTACACTGAATGTAATAAAATCTGAATCATTCTAACATTTTAATGCTTTCCTGTTATTTTTTGTGACTAAAGTTTTAAGCTACTTTTCCAGTAGAGCAAGTGAAATTCTCGTCATTTGTTCCTTTAAAAAAATGCACTTGTCCCGGACAAGTGTTAATGTGACTGAGGGCTTATACACACACTGAGATAATTAACCAAACACAAGACACCTGCTTAACTTAATCAATGATTATGGAGACAAATTAACTGAAGAACTGAGGCACCCAGAAACACAAAAAAACGAATAGAAACAGAACATACATGTTACATTACACCCCCCTCCTGAAAAGGCGCGTCCTCACGTTGTATAAATTCCAACTGAGGAGTGAGGGCAGGGGCTCTGGAGCGGGATGTGAAACAGGAGAGAGAGAGAAAAGTTTGGGGCGAACCAAACAGTCCATGGGGGAGTGGAGGGAGGGAGAAGCCAGGAGCAGGAGGAGCCAGATGGTCACCCACAATCCAGTCAGGATGAAGCCCCAGGGTGGAGTCGAGGGAGGGAGGAGCCATGGTGTTGACTTGGCTGAAGACACCCTGAGGACGACTGATGGAAATGAAGCCACCGGAGCATCCGAGGTGGAATCAGGGAGCCTGAAGACTGAGGTGACGCCGGTGGGACTGAGGACAAAGGTGGAGCCAGGTGGAAGACGGAGCCGAAGGTGCAGGCAGGACGACGTCTGACCAAGGCAGAGCTGGTGGGACAAGGGAGCCCGGTGGAGCTATGAGGACAACGATTTCTGGTGGAGCCGAAGTAGGGAGGACTCAAGGTAGAGCCAATAGGTCGACAAGCCGTGGTTGTTCGTAAGCCAGAAGTGGAGGCAGGGGAATATCCTTATTGGGCGGAGCTGGAGAACTGAAGCTCTGAGGCAGTTCCTCACAGAAAGGTGTTGGAGATGCAGAGGGGCTGAAGTGAAACAGCAGAGGCGGGGCTGAGGAATCGGCTGATTAGGGAAGAGGAGGCGGGAGAGATCACTGGGAGCACAGGCGACATGAGCTGGGCAAAACCAGCTGAGAAACAGGAGACTCAGGGCTAGGCGAGTCCAGCCGGGGTGGGAGGAACAGGGAAATATCTTCCCAAAACACCTCCAAATTACTTAAATAACAATAATAATTTGTTACATTTATATAGCGCTTTTCTGGGTACTCAAAGCGCTTTACATATGGAAGGGGGAATCTCCACAACCACCACCAGTGTGCAGCATCCACCTGTATGATGCGACAGCAGCCATACTGCGCCAGAACGCCCACCTCACACCAGCTTATTGGTGGAGAGGAGACAGAGTGATAGAGCCAATCAGTATATGGGGATGATTAGGAAGCCATGATGATGGACAGAGGCCAATGGGCAAATTTGGCCAGGATGCCGGGGTTACACCCCTACTCTTTTTCGAAAGACATCCTGTGATTTTTAAAGACCACAGAGAGTCAGGACCTCGGTTTAACGTCTCATCCGAAGGACGGTGCTTTTTGACAGTATAGTGTCCCCATCACTAATTCTGGGGCATTAGGACCCACACAGACCACATGGTGAGCACCCCCTGCTGGCCTCACCAAAGCCCCTTTCACACAGCGCTTTGAACCCGGCTTATTGCCGGCAAAATGCCAGAGTGCCTTCTGTGTGAACGCAAACACGACCCGGGATCGATGCCGGGTTGGGGACCTAGTAACATTGCCGTGTTCAGACCCGGAACGCGCGCTGTGTGAACAAAAGCCAGAACCAATGCCGTATAAGGGGTGTGTCGTAGTGATGATTCACGAGCCTTTGCAATAACGTAGGTATCGTGTGACTCAGTTACTCTAGAAGAAAGTTTGTGTCCGTCGTCGATACAAGAAAGAACGAAAAAATGTCTGCAAACTGGACTGAAGTAGAGACCCGTCACATCCAACGTCACGCGTCTTTCCGGAACATACACGGGTTGTGTGTGAACGCGCTCTCTGATTCCGGCAAATCACTGGCAGTGTGAATGAAGCGAAAAAAAATTTTTCTAAGAGTGATGTTTTCAGTCACAAAAACGTCTCAGGACTACTTGTGCTGTAACCACTGCTGTTTTTTGTGTGAAAATGAAAACTGAATGTATACGTTCAGTTCATACGAGAAGTGAAGGGGTGGTTGTGTGTCTTTATCGTCAGTGTAGTATTAAAATTACAGCAGTAAATCCATCCTGAGCAGGATTAATGTCACACCTTGACACCGTATCTCACCTTCGAAATCCCCCAAGGGCCTATTTCATCTTTTTAAACACGCCGTCTTTAGTTGTTCCATTGAAAGCCTTTTCAAAGTAGTGATACACTGTAGCCTAGTTCATAAGATCATTAGGTGTAAAGTCAGCACGGTCAGTTGGTCTATGGATGGAAATTGAGTAGGAGAGAAAAAGGTCAGTCGTATTTTATCATGTTCACGCAACACTATACTTACATTTCCTAACCCCTCCTCACATCTCGGGTATTTTTTGGAGGTCTGAACATCCTCTAGCTGGGCAGAGGTTCCCACCCACTAGAGTGACCAGTCACTAACACCACCTCCCAAGCATGGAGTCACTGGATTACCTTATCTTTGAAATATGCCTTTGTGTCTCTTTCGGTTCCTCTCAATCAAACGCATAAGAGCAACGTGGTTCCTCTTTTGCTTCTCTTCGTCACTGATTTATTATCTCACCCAAGGCTTTAAAAAGCTAAAGCTGGAAAAATCTCTTGTGGCTTTGGAAAGTGTTGATATTTCATCATTTCTCTCTTTCTGGTTTATTGGTTTACTATTTTCCTGCAGGTGTTTACTTTATCTGGCTTATGACAAATAGCAAGAGTCATTCATATAGAGCAACTTTCACAGGTAGACCACAGCCTGGAGCTCACAATATATATAGTCAACATATACATGCCCAGACATGTATTATTCTGCTTTTGAATTGTAGTTACATAGTTATTACATAGTTATGACATGTTTACAGTTATAAAAATTCACATGACATGATTAGCAGAAATTCTTCCAATTAAAATGAATGCTAAATAAAATGGGAATCTGAAGGTGGGTCAGCTAGAGAATATTACTAATTTGAGGGTTGTTTGTTATAATCATTTGTCAATAATTTTCATATTCAAGCTTTCTGCATGATCTGGGTCACAGGGGAAAACCACAACTGGGTCATATCCACAGATGTGTAAGAACATAAAGCTTACATGTGTGTTTTTAATGCTTTTTACTCATTTTATGTAGTCTTCATAAAATAGTATATGTAGCCAACCGTGCGAATGCAGATCACTTTGCACTTGACCATAATTTGAGTGGATCTCATGAAACTCATAAATCTAGCTCATTTTATACCTCAAAATAACAAGGAGAAAAAAAGTTGTGCTTTATTAGAAAGCTAATCAGAAAATTTTCAGAACCATTAAAATGTTATGATTTTTTAATCAAAATTATTTGCCTCAACTCCCTCAGTACAATGCAAAAAAATATAATTCTCATTATGTTAATGTGAAGAAGGATACATTTAAATTGAAATATTTACAGCATACATGCTATGTTTTAATTATTGTACTGTAATTCATTTATCTGATTTTTTTATATTTCTTATTGTAATGCAAGTAAAAAGAGATTTGTATTATTATTATTCAATTAAATTATTTTAAAGAATTAGATCAAAGAACCCTGCAGAAAAATATTGCGCAGCACAACTGTTTTCAACATTGATAATAATCAGAAATGTTTCTAGAGCATCGGATGATCATATTAGAATGATTTCTGAAGGATCATGTGACACTGAAGACTGGAGTAATGATGTTGAAAATTCAGCTTTGCCATCAAAGGAATAAATGACACTTTACAGTATAATAAAATAATTTTAATAAAATTTCACAAATGACTGTTTTTACTGTATTTTTGATGCATACAGTACTTCTTTTCAAAACAATAACAATTTTACCACTACATTTGATGTTTCATCCTTTCACTTACTCTCCAGTGTTATATTAGCTGTGTATGGATATCGAAGATGTTTACTATGCTTTGATGGATCGACATTCTGTTATTGTTACCACATGTCATAACATGTTTAATCAGAATAATAACATATGCAGAAGATAAAATACGCCACATAAAGTTTAGCTCTGGTCTGATGCGGTGTGGTAGTGGCGGATTCATTCCCTATATATTCTTAACATGTCAGAACAAGCTCACTTTGACCACTGAACAAGTTACGGCAAGAAAAACGAAACCAACATCTGTACACAACAGCACAGTATTTGGTTTAGTACAGGTCTCACGTAGTGCGTCACATGTGGCGTACAGAATGTGATGGTTTTGTATAGTGTAAAAACTCCCAGCAGTCTATTAAAGGGACTGTGACACCTGCTTCCCTCCGGTTGACAGCGAGTAGGAGGGCCTGTCCCTGCCCAGGCGAGAGATGTTTCATATTGCACATCACCCATGCTTTAGGGGAAAGTACACTACAGCGCTCCTCTTGGACATCTGCTGAGAAACTCTAAACAGGAACACAGACACTCACAAAACACAAAGCCATCATACAGGAAGCTTGACACATTCTGAGGTTTGTCTACGGGCCAACCAGAAGACGAGAGGTGGAGGCCACGCTCATTCGACATCGTCAATCCCAGCCTCACCAGTGTTTTCACCTCCGTTCGCTCACTCTTCTCCTGCACTGACGCTGTCAGGCATCATGTCTCTATCTGCCGAGTACTGCAGCGATAAAACGGGTGACAGGGGTGGCGGAGGTAGAGCTCTGGCCCATCAGAGGAGGCTGATCCGGGGATTGCTGGTTTGGGCCACCCTGCTCACTCTAGGCCTGGCCGCGTCAATAACTCTGCACTTCATTCACAGAGAATCTGATAAACCACAGGTAGGGATGAGATCTATAATCTAAGTTCATGTTCATTTTATATATAAGCTGCTTCAACCATGTCTGTGAACTTAACGAAATGCATCCTGCTCACTCTCAGAAAAAAAAAGGTACAAAATATTGCAAAATTTAGAAGATACACCCTTGTACCTTATTTACCCCTAAAGGGTTCATATACTTAAATGTACCATATTAGCCTACATATGGTACATACTGTATTAGAATGTTTTGAAATGATACTGTCCCAGGACAGCTTTTTTCTAGAGTATGGGATGCTCTTTAAACAATACTGAAGTTCACATATGCTGACAAAAACAATAATTAAATGAAGCAGTGAAGCAGAGACTTGAAACAAAAAATGTTAGAAAAAGGATAAAAGTAAATTCGGGCAATTGAGTCGAGAGCTGTTGTGTATTGTGTATCTGGTGGGATAAAGTCAGACCACAGCGGCTTTCTGACTCAAAACCGCAGATGAGGGGAACGCAAATGTGTGTAATCACAACAACCTCATATTTATATAGACAGAACATATTCAAACAGATAAGCTCAAATAAATAAATGTCTGAGAATTTTAAACTGAACTGTGATTTTTAGTGGATGTATGAAATTCCAGTGGATTTGCAGGTGTAGACTTCATCACATTCACTATCAATATTATCCATACTGTTAAAATAAGTAAGCATGCGATGACCACATAATAAGGGGAGTCTTTGTTATGCAGTAAATCAAACAGCTCATTTAGTGCCAATGTGGAAACTCTGAATATGTGAGTATTGATACTGCTGCTCAGTGTCAATCATCATTGTTCTTTCCAGCACAGTGGAGAGATCTGAATTTGCCGAAAATGCTTTTGTTTGTCTGATAAGGGACTAGCTGTGGTATCATGCCAGTTGGAAGGTCAAATCTGGTTACCACATGAACATGTCAAAACACGTTCTGGCTGCCCAACGAACAATTTACTGCAAGAGAAAATAAGATATGAAACTTTCTGTGACATGGTTGATAGAGATTAGCATCTGATGCAATTACAATTTACCATCATTTTTGAGTCACAGTTTTGTTCATATAAAGGAACTATTTTTTTTTTACACTCTTAAAAGGTTCAAAAAGGGGCTTTGCGCAACAACGCCATATAGAAGAACCATTTTGGGTTCCCCAAAGAACCTTTCAGTAAACACTACTTAAAAGAACTTTTTGTAAAGAGCATTTTAAAAATCTAAAGAACCTTTTGCGGAATGAAAAGCTTCCGTGGATGTTTCTTCATGGAACCATAAATGCCAATAAAGAACCTTTATTTTTAAGGGTGTAATTGTGCTACAAAAAAAAAAAAAAAAAACATACAAAACTATCCTTTTCGGGTAACTTTTAGAAGGTTGGCTATAAGATTTAACTGGTGGTTTCATTCAAAAGTAACACCTATAAGATATGAGAACCTGATTCTGCTGTTTGAAAAGGAAATTGGTTAAGTTCTGAAACTATACTTTCTCTTAAAATTAGTTTTTTTTTTCCACACACACACACAGACACATGAAGATGCAGCATATTGGGCTGGTGAAAACAAACAAGCAACCGCAGAACAGTAGAACATGACATTATGACATCATTCCACTTAGGGGAAATGCCACCCCTCCTCTTCCCTGGCTTGTGTGACATCAGAAGCGCTGCTTGTGCACAAACCTTTTAAATACATTTGAAAATACATATTTGGGTTAAAAACAAATGAGCTAAAGGGGATAGATGAATTGGACTGAAATTAATTGGACAACATATTATCAACCTGTTGGAAATCCCCTAGTGACCAACCAGAGTAACAAAGCAACCAACCTGAGCACCTTAGCAACTGTCGAAACCATGGGTTTCATGTTAGCCCTATCTGAATTAACCCCAGTAAGGGCCTTAAATGTGTTTGTACATGTGTTTTATGTCAGCCCTATCTGAATTAACCCCAGTAAGGGCCTTAAATGGGGTTATTCATGGGTTTCATGTTACGCCTATCTGAATTAACCCCAGTATGAGCCTTAAATGTGTTTGTACATGTGTTTTATGTCAGCCCTATCTGAATTAACCCCAGTAAGGGCCTTAAATGGGGTTATTCATGGGTTTCATGTTAGCCCTATCTGAATTAACCCCAGTATGAGCCTTAAATGTGTTTGTACATGTGTTTTATGTCAGCCCTATCTGAATTAACCCCAGTAAGGGCCTTAAATGGGGTTATTCATGGGTTTCATGTTAGCCCTATCTGAATTAACCCCAGTAAGGGCCTTAAATGGGGTTATTCATGGGTTTCATGTTAGCCCTATCTGAATTAACCCCAGTATGAGCCTTAACTGTGTTTGTACATGTGTTTTAGGTCAGCCCTATCTGAATTAGACCCAGTATGAACCCCAAACAGGTTTGTCCATGGGTTTCATAATGGCCCTATCTGAATTAGCCCAGTAAGGGCCCTAAACGGGTTTGTCCATGGGTTTTATGTCGGCCCTTTCTGAATTAGCCTTAGTGTGAACCCTAAACAGGTTTGTCCATGGGTTTCATATTGGCCCTATCTGAATTTGCCCATACTGGGGTTAATTCAGTTAGAGCCGACATGCAATCCATGGGCAAACTTATTTGGGGCCCACACCTGAAGCCCATATCGTGCCTACATTGGCCCCACCATACAATGTTGGCTAGGAAAGAACAACTTTGCAACCACCAAGCAGCTACCTGGCAACCAATGGAAGCACCTTATTAAGCACTGCCCTAACAACCATGCAGAACACCTTAGCAACCACATTGTAAACTGACTTGAAGTTTAACCACTTAAGCAGGATCTTACTACTGTATTTATGTATCTAGGAAACCTCAAATGCTGTATAAATGCTCAATGCTCATAATTTTATAGCGTTTTACAACTTTTCATTGAAAGACTGTCTTTATGGACCTTGCTTTTTGTGTACTATATTTTGACTGTAATTAGAAAACGTAAGAGAGATTAAAAAAGCCTTGATCTTACCTTATTTTTTTCAGACCCAACAGGATACCGGAAACCACAACCAACCGAATAAAGTCACGGACATGATGTCATTTTCACCAAAATGTAAGTCAGCGCTTAGAATCTTTTAGATATTTAAATCTACATCTTAATGTGTCTTCAGTTTGTGATCGTTATTTCCTTACTAGAACCAAATATATTCATTTAATGTCCTAACATAGCCCCCAACACCTATTTGGATACTTATTTCACAATTAAAATGCTATCTTTTTCTATGGTAGGCATAATTAAAAACCTTAAAAATGACTTCTCTAGATTTGTCCACAGGGCCTCAAAAAAACATGGTGGAGCTACTCCATTGGAATGTACCGAAAACTGGCTTCATCGAGGGAGAGGGGCAGTTGAAGGTGAAGTACGACGGCCTGTATTTCCTGTACCTGCAGGTTACCCTTGACCCTCACATGAAAGAAAACTATACAATCACTATGCAAACAGAAAGAAACAAGGTGATTTCCAAAGGTCTTATCAATGGATCAAAACTCTCAACTGTCTTCATGGGTAAAGGGATTAAACTGAGTAGGGGAGATACCTTTAATGTGACCTGCAAGCCTCATGCCAAAATCCAGACCCATTACACTGAAACCTACCTGGGAGTGATCAAGCTTCATTAGATCTAAATCGAAGACTGAAATGGATCTGTGACAGTATGAATGTGGACTCTGATTAGCACTGATCTGTTGGATTTTGAAGTACAGTGGAGACAGTGTGCGACATGTTTGATTTGGTAAGAAATGTATTACTTTTTTTATTTATTTATTTCTTAAAGTCACATCTCCAAAAAATAGTGAAAGCTCTCTCCCTTTATTGCACTATATTTAAGCTTTTCTCCATGTGAAGAACGATGTGTTACTGCATAGCCGAATTCTGATTGTTAAACACTCTAAAAAATGTTTGGTTGACCCATGTTTGGGTCAAATATGGACGAACCCATCCGTTGGGTTTAAAAATTGATACAAATTTTTAAAACAATGGTTGATTTTGTCCATATTTGACCAAAACATGGTTTGAAACAAGCCAGCATTTTTTTAGAGTGTGCCAATGTAAAATTGGGTACTATTGATGCACTTTGTTAAAAATATATATTTGTGTGCAATTGACCCTTCGCTAAGGCCCTGAACTGCTCCAAATGTTTCTACAACATACTCACTTTGGTATTGTGAACCCTTTATTTACTGTCCACACTACAAAACCTGAATCAATAGAACATTTAAATGAGATTAAATCTTACTGATGTTGTACATTTGATTTGTTTGAGAATTATGGTCAACACATCACTTAATCTACAGAGTGAACATCAAGATTTTGTTTTTTCAAGGTTTCAAGTATAAAAAGGGGAATACCTACCACTTGTTTTCTCTCTGGTTATCTTGTGTCACTATTATAAGCTCCTCAACAACCATATTTCTGGATTATTTCTGTAAAATGCCATTTAAAACTAGCAAAACACACTGAATCTACATACATTGAATAGAGTTGGGTTAAGGGATGGGGTTAAAGTGCAGACAAAGAATATCAAAATACCTCCCTTTAATAAACGCATACTACACTTATATAAAATAAAATATTTCGAATTCAGCCTGAAGTTTTCGCCAACTAACATGTCATTGGTCAGGTGGTGTATCAAGAGAACCAAGCCACTAAAAGAATGTATATACTGTAATTGTATCATGTGTATGTGTTTTCTTTCTTTTTTTTTCTTTTTTATTATATATATATATATATATATATATATATATATATATATATATATGTATGTGTCATATTTATCTATATTTATGGCTGTTAATTACACAGTGGCAACCATCTGGCTACTTAAAATGTATGGTTTAGAGAACAAAAAAAGGATAGTTCACCCAAATATTTAAATTCTGTCATTTACATTTACTCACCCTGTTGTTCCAAACCTGTATGAATTTATTTCTGCTGAACACAAAAGAAAATATTTTGAAGAATGTCAGTAACCAAACAGTTCATGGTCCCTATTGACTTCCATAGTATTTTTTTTCCCATACTATGGAAGTCAATGGGGTAGGCTACATCAACTTGTTACCCATATTCTTCAAAATATATATTCTTTCATGCTCAGCAGAAAAAAGAAACTCATACAGGTTGGAATAACTTGAGGGTGGATAAATAATGACATTTTTCTTCTTCTTTTTTTTGGTGAACTATCCCTTTAAGTCACTTATTGGGGTCACTGTAAATGGCTGAATTAATGTTTTGTTTTGTAATATTACTTAATGTCTTAAGATCTCCTTTCAAATAAAGTTACTCATTTTGTGGAGGTCCGTGTCCATATTTCATCACAGATATATCTGTCAAAAAGCTTATACACTGTGTAAGACAATTGTTTTAATAAACAACTACATACTTTCTGCCGTTGTAATATGCATTTTTTGTGATGATGACTCATTCATACTGATGGTAGACCGGCTGATATACTTACAAGAACGAGACAGACAGTGATAAGACTTTCCATCGAGGTGGGAGTGAGGGGGCAGAAACACAGCAGTGACTAATTTCCATAAATCCATCAGCAAACATGTTTAGTTAACTGTGGGTTTTTCGACACTGACATGTTTTCAATAATCATTTCAAGTTTGTACCTACTTTAATCTTACCATGGCACTAAACTGAACCGTCTTCAGTTGGGCTATACCTCTGAGGCTTCTGTTATGGTTCTGCATGTGAGATTGATCTCAGAGATCTTGAATCTATAGAGTCATCATTCTGTGCTACTGTGATGTTTTGATGACTCAATAGCGGGACCCTCTTTCTGAAAAGAAAGCGAAAGAGTGCGTAAACCAAAACATCACTCAGCACATCTGCTTTCGAGGAGCCCCTTATGAGTTCATCAACATCTTTTCACACACTCGTCATCTCACATTCCTGCACAGTTTAATAGCCCTAAATATTATATGCACTGCTTTTGTCTTATCAAAACCTCCTCAGTGATGGGTACAGTGATTAGATTTATACAAATTTACTCTGATTCTAACAGAGACATGCTAGAAGGAGAAAACCCGCTAGCTGAAAGACATCTAACATGGCAGCTGTGGGAACAAAGCCTGTTTCTACATGTTGGTTGGTTGAGAAGAAATGACAATACCATAGCGCTCTCCAGGTATTATTGGCCTTTTGCTCTAAAACTGGGGTTTTCAAAGTGTTATAAGGCCAAAGTATCCTAGTTGTATGGTTCACATGGATTAAATATGGTTATCTGAGTAGTGCGACCATATCCCGATTTTTTTCGAACCTGTGTGGTTCATCTGACGCATTCGCCTTGAATTATTTCGCACTAAAAAGGTCAATTGTCTATTATTGTCAATAGTGTAGCACCGGGCCTAAAAGTAACTACACCTGCCAATGGCCTGTGACTTCAGAAAATTTACCGGCCACAAATATTTTTTACTGGCCATGAAACTGCAAAAACAGGAAGTAATGACACCAAAGGTTTAGATATCAGTGAAAATTCACAATTCTCTATTCCAATTTCGATACCTCAGCTAAAACTAGCCTAACTAATATAAATTTAAAAGATTATTAAAGATAATAATAATGAAGTAAACTGCCTGTAAAAAAGAATAAGAACAAATAATCAAATCACAAGCAATAGCACTAATAAATACAAATTAAATAAACAGTGCTTTTCAGGTTTTTCAGGTAAGTCTAAGAGTTGTTTTCAGGTACAGAAATGTTATAAATGAATAGCCTGATATAGCCACTGCATGGCCTTCACTGTATAAATTAAATATACATTAATCCTTAATAAAGTTACGCAGTCAAGAGCAGTGAGTGATTTTTTTATTTGTCCTTTGTTGTTTACATAAAAAATCATAGACAGCAGCAGGAATATTAGGCTGCTGTCACTTTAAGACATGATGCATGGATCCAATGTACTGATACTGTACACATGCATTGTCTTTCTCGACTGTTTATGTTCACTTAAGCCATAAACGACTGTTTACTAGGATACTCGACGAGATGGGCAATTTTTAAACATAATTTTGTGTGAATTTGTCCGTTCAAGAAGACGTGAAAGAGAGCTCAATTCAGAATTTGCGTGCTGACATTGCTTTCTGGACACGTACTTCCGATGTTTGTGCTCACAAAACTTCTCACACAGCGTGTGAGTAATGAATTGAGGTTCTTTCCAACGCATTCTCATCCCAAGGCGTCATATACTGACGCTTTTGCCAAAGCGTCTACATCCGACGCACATGGCACCCTTTAGCGTCAATATAACACGCTTCGGTTATGGGTGGGTTTAGGTCTGGGGTAGTGTTAGTGTTAGACCACTAGAAGGCGCCATATATCTGCGTCTCATATTGACGCTAAAGGGTGCCATGTGCGTTGACGCCTTGGGATGAGAACGGGCTGTTCTTTCGCATCTCCTTGCACTTGAATATTTAAAATTGTAAGGCTCAAAGTTTCATGACGATGCAGCACTGGCCCATCAACATTCACAGTTGTGTTCTCACAACATTGCATTAATAGGATTCATAAAAATCTTGCCGGCCACCTGGAGATTGAAACCCTTTCATATACTCGCCAAATCCGATTTGTACTCGCTTTTGGGCGTTAATTGTAGGCCCTGGAACAATATGAAGCACAGCTCACACAGATGTCACTTTCAAACCAAGCAGCTTTCTGTTGGTCACCTCGGCAAATTCACCTGACCAACTTGAAGACGACCGAAATCTGCGAGGGGAACTTTTTTGTCCGATCACATGGATTCCTATTGAAATGATTGAATAGCCCGCGAAAATTCGTAAAACAGCAATGTGACCGCAACTTTATTCAACTGGCCTCTGACTTACAATAGGATACTTCATTTTGTTTTCTTTCCAAAAATATCTGTGTCTATTGGGCATTTCTCTTCATCTTCCCCGAAATGTGGGATTTGTTTTCCAACATGCTTCACCATGAACACACCCCAGACAGCAACATAGTGTCGGCCCAGATCCGGCCCACATCTGGTACGCGTTGAGTCCACATGCACCAAATGTGGCCCGGATCTGCCGACACTATGTTGCTGTCTGGGACTGGGGAAAAATTGTGGCAATGTAGCTAATAAAACTGTATTGTGAATTATTCAAGTCATACTATTTAACATCACTGAATGAACATAAATAGATTATTTATACTAACAAAACAAAAGTTTATGGGTTAAATCAGGTAGAAATAGCAAAGGTGACAATTTCAGGTTACCACTTTTTACATCTGACCTTGATGATATGCAAACAGACTTTAGAAAACAAATGTACAAAGCTAGACTTAAATGAAAAACAGTTTTATAGAGCCTTTTTTTTTTTGAGCCAAGATGGATGGACACTGAGTGATTTGCTTTAAAAAAAATAATTCAAAATTGTGGATTAAGTAGAAACAATTTTTAAATAACTGATGGAATTTGGCTGAGCTCAAATAATTATTGGCTTCATAACATGGTCTTTCCGGTCCTACGCAAAAATAATAATTCTGCACACAAAGCGATACTGGTGCACATCCGGAAAAGGGCAATCACGGTCATATTAGCCACCAAAAGGTCCATAATGCTAATTTTACAGCCCACTCTCGTCGAAATGATCCGCTCTCCACCTCCTCCACAGGAAGAGGGAGATAATGCAGAAGCATTTCCACTGCACTCGCTTCTGTTGCTGAGGGGAATCTCATTTTCAGTGAAGTCATTCATCAGCTTCTTCTCACTTCTCACGATCTTTATTTTCTTGAGATCTCTTT